AAGAGAGAACATCTGAAGACAAAATATAGTGGAGGCACATCCTTCATTTCACAATGCAGCATCTTGGGAAAATTGTGACAAATACAGTCAAAGCTCATTTACTAACTTTTTGTTTTGAAAGACACATTAACAAAAAAAAAGATTTTTTTAGTTAAGTACAGAATCCCTGCTGATTTAGTAAAAAATCATTATATACATAACCAAAACAGAATGAACCAAGTTAGCTGGTCCCAAAAGCATCTTAGTAATAAGGTTTGACTGTACAGCCATGCCTGAAAGAGCGGTGAAAGTTTCTGTGATTATCTCAAGTTTTAAGATCACTGCATGTGCTGTACTAAAATATGACTTCTAAGTTCATAGTTCAATGCTATAGCTTAAAGGCCTGATTTGCAGCCCAGCCTTAACCTGGAACAATGTAGGTCAGTCACATTTACTGTAAAGACTTGACTGCACCCAGAAACCATGTACCTGAACATTTAAATGACTAACTGCGTCCATAAACACTTATTTTCCTCTGCTGTTTGCAAGTGTAAAACCAGAGAAGTGTTTGCAAATCTGATCCTAAATCTGTATACAGAAACTGAGCTGACAAGTTGCACAGAATAAACTTTGAAAAGAGAGTTTGGTTATTTTAATAAATGCAGTCTCTGAACTAAAATGTTCAGCGTTTCAAAAAGCACTTTTTTAAAAACTGCAAAAACAAAATCTATGACTACAGAATCATTTATCTTACTATGCCTTACAAAATATCCTATATGTATCAAACCCTTCTAGCTGCTCTAGTGTCGATGAAAATAGTTCCAAAATCTTCTCCATTTGCCTCTCATCACTCCCTGCACCCTCACCCCCCACCCCCACCCATTTCATATATCAGAAATAGTACAAGATACACAGGTTGGGAGAAACTGTCTTTCTGATTTATCCTTTTCATTTTTAATCCTGATCCACTGTTTTGGCCTATTCTAGTTTTCAGTATTTAAATTTAAAAGGAGATGTGAGCATTTAAACTCTGTGTGTCTGTCATGCCTGCATCAGTACCGTGTGCTTTCAATTGCCACCATTGATTTCAGAGAACTGAAACCACACAGCATGTTTCAGGATTGGACCCTGGTTTTGCAAGCATTTGTAAACATGAATCACATTAATTTGCAAATTTCATTGTTGGACTGGTCAGTTTTGTGGATTAAAATCATCCCATCCCCTTTCCTGCTCCAAGGAAACCTCAGTTTCTACTAATATTTTCCACACTACTTCCATAAATATCTTTTAGTGGTAGTTTCACTTATTTGAGAAGAAAATAAATTACTTAATCCTTTCCTTAATTTATTAGCATTACACTGGTGATAGGGGGTAGAGTTCACTCATGTGAAACCCTTAGAAAGCAAATGCAAGAAATGTGTTACTTTACGGTTTCAAATTAGTCCGAATTTGCAAAATGCCCAGGACTTCATTAACCTGGATGCACAGTGTTGAGACAGAGGCACAATAATGAAAATACCTCTTTGGAAGATAAGTGATTAAGCACTGAGCCTGAACTAAAAGAGTCAGTAGACAGACATCTTCCTTTCTCTTGTATTGACTTCAATGGGCTTTGGATCAGCTATTTAATGATTTTTCAGAAGTGGAATATGGCTTCTGGTAATGAAAAGCCAAATACAAATAGTTTTTTTCCCCACTGCTCAGCCTTTCTTATTAATTTAAGAAACTATTTTGGCAGAATTCTGTGCATCTCCCAAGTATTAACTCAGCAAGATTACATAGCGAGAAATAGTAAAATGACATTCTTTCAGTCTATGTGATATTCATAACACTCATTTACATTTCTTTTTAAAAAGACTGATGACAATTTACAGCTGCCTTTATTTAAAAAGAAAATCACATGAGCTCTGCTAGGATCTTTGCATTTCTAAAAAATATCCATAGATCCCAAGTGCTATATTTTTAACCTGTTCACTTGTGCAAAGGGTATTTCATCCACGAGGAATACAAAGGCCTAAATTTGGCCCAGTTATCCACAGAGGTGGGCATTCCTAAATGAAGGGTAATCACCATAGTTCTACTGTGCAGAAGCCAGACAAATGACCTCTGTGTTTGCCATGGAGTAATGCGCCTTTGGACTCACTCCCCAGATATATTGAGGAATGATATACAGACAGATCTAAAGCTCACTGAAGTCAGTGGGCATCTTTCCATTGATTGCAAAAGGATTTGAATCAGGCCGAGAGTGAAGAGCTTGTTCATGACTGCACCGATCTACTGTCCAAAATTCTCACATTCAGGGAGCGGGCAGAAGCCCTTGCTAAAGCCTCCAAGCTTTTCTAGTGATTCTTAACTCATCCCTGATTTAATTTACAGTTAGGTCAATACAAGGCAGCTTTAACTATGGAAGTGTCTACACTTAAATTTGGTTTCCCCTGACATAATTGCCTGCTATGCTGACTTAATACTCCACTTCCACAAGAAGTGTGGAATCAAGATCAATGTAGTTTGATTGTTGCAGAGTCAGTGTAGACAATGTCTTGCTTACATTAACCATTGCTAGCTTTCAGGAGCCATTTCATAATGCCCCACACTGATAGTACAATTGATGAAAGTGTTGTTGGTGAGGATGTGCACTGCCAACAAAAGGAACAAATTATAATTAAAAATGTAATGTAAAAATGTAAAAAAATGTAATTACTGCTGTGGCTGTATGCCTATGTAAGTTAAGTTGACTTATTTTTATAGTCTAGATGTGGCCTCAGAGTTTTACAGAATTTGATCCTAAAGAAGTAGTTTCCATTTAGTCCTACCAAAGATACCGTCAGACTTCACTCTTTGGGTGTGTCTAGACTACAGGGTTTTTTAGGAAAAAAGTGGCCTTTTTTCAAAGAAAAAAAACAAAAACAAAACCTTCCCCTGCGTCTACACTGCCACCACATTCTTTCGAAAGTAAATCAAAAGAATGTGGCAGTTTTTTCGACCGCGGAAAAACTTGTTTTACGAGGAAGAATGCCTTTTTTCGAAAGTGCTCTTTTGAAAAAAGGTGCTATGTAATGCAAACTGTGCTTTTTCGAAAGAGAGCATCCAGACTGCCTGGGTGCTCTTTCTTTCGAAAAAGGGGCTTGCTTTTTCGAAAGTACTGGTTGTAGTCTAGACTCTCTTTTTCGAAAGAGGCTTTTTCAAAAGTATCTTTCGAAAGAGGCTTTTTTGAAAAAGGCTTGCAGTCTAGACGTAGCCTTTGTTTCCAGTAAAAGCATCCTTAATTGTTCCTGATGATCTGAAATTGTAAGTCTGAAAAAGAGCCATATCTTTTCCCTGATATTTATTGCAAGATCTTTATTCACCAGATTTTCCATAAGAATGCAACTTAAACTCTGATTACTATATTGTAATTTCTTCCTAGTGTTTCTACAACAGTAGGATAGGAGAGTGGATTTGGTGAATCTGGAACCTCTTGGATGGAATTTTAAGCCTCTGTCAAATAAACACATCTGCAACCCTGGCTGGAGCTGGCTTTAGCAACAGATTCCCTAGTAATGCTCAATACTTTATGAAGAAACATTGTACAGATATCCACCTAGTTTGAATGGACAAATGTGTGGCTTTGAAGTGTCAAAGCATTTGAATACTAAAATCTGAGTATAAATTTAGACAAACACAGTTTCTTAATTAAATGGCAATTTTAAATTTTATTTTGTTAGCGAGAGCTGTTGAATTTCATTCTGATTGATAAATCTTTTGGGGAGAAACTGGTTGGTTAGAATACTCTCCAAGCTGGAGCAAGAAATTCTTACTAACATGAGTAATCCCACTGATTTATATGAATGTTCATGCTGAAGGAAGGTCTATACATGCAAGAGCTGCAGAAGTGAGGCGGTAAGGCCAGATTCTGAGAGATGCTGATTATCCACAACTTATATGTCAAATGGTTTGTTTGTACAGGTTGAACCTCTCTAATCAGGACTCTCTGGGCTAGCAACATCCATGCTCTGAAAGGGAACCCTGCCGGGCCGAGAGCCTGGATGTGCCAGCAGCAAGGGTGCCAGTGGGTAGCAGCCTTGCCAAGGCTGGGAGAATGGCCAGGCCATCAACCGGAGGGGGTGGCTAGAGTCCAGCCAGTCTGCTTCCCCTGGTCTGGCAAACTCCCTTGTTTGGGACCGGTCAGGTCATAAGAGTACTGGACAGATTAGCAGTTGTGCATTAAAGTGGGACAAGTGTTCAGTGATTAATTTCCTCTGGATCAAGGCATTATTCCTACCAGGTGTGGTTCTGGTTGGGCAAAGACATGTAAACATGTTATTTTAAGGCCACAGTTAAAAGGAAGAGAGGGTTTTCTCTGCTGTGCTCAACCTCATTTTCACCAAGGGCAATATGAATTGGAAAGGGGACCAAAAACATTAAATGGCTCTTGCAAAATAATGTAATTTATATGAGAGAGATATTTTAATCCAGTGTCATTTGGACATTGTCTGTCATTTTGGGAGGAAACAGAAGCAACTCTTCTTTTATCCTTTAATTAAAAATTTCAGGCAATTTTTTCTTGTGAAAGGAGTTTTAATCTCTTGCACGAGGGGTTTAAAACTTAGTCACAACTAACAAAGTAAATACAGTAGCACCATCCTGACAGTCATAAAAATGATTAACAATGACATGCTAATCCCATTACATGCTGTGGAGCAGGTATCTCTGGGGGAAGGTACAAAATGTTTATTTGTCCACTGACTGGCCCTCCAAAAATTTGAGGACTGAATTTACAACAAGCCATTTACAAATACCAGGGAGTGCTCCTAAATAGAGCTCTTTATGCTCTCAAGCACTTTAGAAAGTTAGGGGAGCATCATTATCCTGGTTTTACAAACAGGGAAACTGAGACACAGAGCAGTGAAGTGATCTCACTTAGGTCGCACAGTTTGTGGCAGGACAGGGAACAGAATCTCAGATCTTCTGACTTCCAATTTTATGCCCCATCTGTCTCCCTTTCAGCAAAGAAGTCACTAAAATACCCATATCTCGTATGCCCCTTTCAGCAAAGAAGTCACTAAAATACCCATATCTCCAACATTATGAATAACAGTTTTTGAGTGTTGCTATCATTCTCAAATGGCCTCCCACATATCATTAACATCCTTAACTCAACAATGCCAAGTCTAACAAACCTTTCTGCTCACTGACAAAATAAGCTCAGAAATTCGATTGGAAATTAAGATGTTTTTACGCTTTTCTTGGAGGAGAGAATAAAAATTAATACTGAAGTCTTTGCACTAACTAAGTGCAAAGAAAAATCCTAGTCATCACATTTGCACCATTATTTGCACATATCCATTCACCACCTTGCAACTTCCTATTTTTAAGTTGTGTTATCTCTCATATCACCATTTCGAAAAAGGCTTTTTCTAAATTAATAGTTAGGTTAGTAAAGGTACTTTAACCTATTAAATGATATATGGTTACAGTTTATATGCTTAGCTACATAAATAAGAGAGCAAAAAAGTGCTTAAATTGTTTGCATCCACTTCGATTTCAACCAGTAAAATCAAACTGTCCTCTAAATACATGAATAATACTGAATATATACCTTCTCTTGTCCATTTTGTTACCTAGAACCCTGTAGGTAACTGAATTCTATTGTTCACTTATTTTTACATAACGCCCTGTTGACAATAACCTCATCCCCTTGCTGATTATTACCTACTCTGTAGGTAACAGTGCCTCTTACCATTTAGGTCACTGAGAAATTCACCAAGAAATTCAACAATGCCTTCTACTTGCCTATTTTATTACCTAGCACTCTTCAGGTAACAAGACTTTGCTATTGTTGATTCTACTACCTGGAATTCTGCAGGTACCAACACTTTCCTCTTGTACTTTTCACTTTTGTAGAAATCCTGAAAAGTTAATTTTGAATGTCTTTGCTTCTAATATTGTCTGAAAAAATGTGCTGTTTATAAATGTATAGCTCTTTGAAGATTAAAAAATTTAAATTTGATAAATAGAAAAATAACTGCCCTGAAGTTTTTTGGTTTCTAGCAGCTGTTGGTCCTGCTAAGTGAACCAGAAGAAACCAAGCTTATTTAAAAATATATATAGTATCATTGTTTTAAATACAAAATTGAAAGTAGAGTGAGACTACTTAAGACCTTGGTATTCTGGGGGAGGGGGGTAGGTATGCAACTCTACAGATATTCTTGCTATGCAGTTCTACAGCTATTTCTCCCTACGCTCAGAGCAGATGCTCTGTTTTTAAAAAAGAAATTCAGACTAAACCATAGGTGATTTCCAAAACTGCCCAGTGTAGACTAAGACAATCTTAAGAAGGTACTTAAAAAGAACACAGTTGTTTAATGCTAGTACCTTCCTTACATTAGCTGCTGCTGAACATGGAAAGAAGTTAGTCTAGTAAAAAATCTTGCTTTGCAAAGGTTGGTACTTTTCACTTGGATTTAATATCCCCACACCATGCCAAAATGGTAATGCCACACGATCATCTATTGAAAAGAACACCAGAAAGGTAAGTCTGCCTGGACAACTGTAATTCTCCTTTTATAAACTCTTGAAATGAATGAGTCCTACAGGACGGGGCGGGGCGGGGGATCATATAAGCCTAGAACTTTTAAGGAACTGAATGAGAACTCCATAGACAAAAGTGTATTGGCAGAGAGTTTGCACCATCATCATCCTCTGCTGCCTCAACATGTCCAGCACTCTTGGGATGTCCAGCATCTGGAAAAAGAAAGATGTTAACTGTTACAATGATGGGTGATTAATAAGTCTGTGGTTTAGACTTTCAAGACAAAAGAGATAAAAGAAGTAAGCACAGGGCACAGTATCAGTAATTCCTGAGCTTAGGTATCAGCTCTGATAATTAACTCTCTATGGGCTCATAGACTACAGGGAATGGTCAAAAGAAGATATGCAAATTCCATGGGAAATTGGCAAATGGAGCTTTTGAAAGTGAAAGTAATTAATACGCGGCTTTTTTGGCGAACCCCCCTTTATATCTCCCCCCCCTTTGTCGAAAAGCTGTGCAAACCTACTATCCCCCTTTATATCTCCCCCCTTTGTCGAAAAGCTGTGCAAACCTACTATTTTGAGGAAAAATGGCTTTTCGACGAAGGGGGCGGTTCCCCAAAAAATCTGCATCTTAATTACTTTCACTTTTGAAAGCTCCACTTTTGGAAGTGCAATCAGAAGAAGATACGCAAATTCTCATAGAATTTGCATATCCTCTTTCGACCGTTCTGTGTTGTCTAGATACGCCCTATGGCAGGGATAGGCAATAATTTTTGATGGGGGGCCCACTCCAAGATTTTGGAAAGTGGTCGAGGGCCACACTCTTCCATGATATTAATAGAGGAGATGCGGGAAGGGTTGCTAGGTGTCCAGTTTTGAACTGGACAGTCCAGTATTTGAGCTTTCTGTTCAGGAAACAAATTGAGAAAATATAAATGTCTGGTATTTTCTAAATAAAATGTAATGTAGATTGTGATGTAATGTCAAGTGTGTCTGGTGTTGTTGAAACCATCTGGCAACCCTAGATGCAGAGTCTGGGATGGAGGCTGGATGCAGAAGGTAGCTTGGGGTAAGGGACTGTGTTGCAGGAGGGAGACTGGAGTTTGGGAGGGAGTTGGGATGAAGCATGCAGCTGTGACCCAGAGCAGGAGACTGGAGTGCAGGAGTTTCGGTGTAAGAGGGGGACAGAGGGTTTGGGTATGGGGGGGAGGGGCAGAGAGTTGGGGCAGGAAAGGGCTGGGGTGCCAGAAGTAGGCTGTGGCCAAGAGACTTTCTTGTCAGCTGCCAAACTAGCCTGCCTGCCTGCGGCAGAGCTTAAAATGTTTTCCAGCCAGTCAGCCTGCTTGCCACGCTTGCCAGGCCATGTGCTTCATGAATAAACTGAGCCCAGGAGAGGGGGCGTGGTTCTTCTTAGCTGCCTGCTCTGCTATTCCAACGAGCAGCTCCCATTGGCCGGTTTCTGCCAGAAACTGGCCAATGGGAATGTGCTGGGGCAGGGCCACTCCTAAAACTTCCCCCCTCCCCTCCAGTTTCAAAACAGAAACGGAGCCCTGCAGCTACTTTTCTGCACTGCGCACAGGGCTGCGGGGCAAGCTGGGGACCCTGCCTGGGGATCCCCATTAAGTCCGCGGGCTGGATCCAGTGGCTTGGTGGGTCAGATTTATCTTGCGGGCCATATTTTGCCCAGGCCTGCAATAAGGATTCAACAGATAAGCCACACAATGCCTTATATACTCCACATACATAAAACCGAAGCTTTTATTTTAAACATGGGCAAGAAAATAACCTCATTGTGTTCCAAACAGGCAATCATGATCTCTGACAATATGACTACTCCCGTTCTTCCTACGCCTGCGCTGCAGTGTACCAGTACAGGGGGGTTAGAGCTTTGAGGATCCGCTGTGCTGTTTGTATGGCGCCGCACTGACTGTATCTCCTCCAAGTATGCTGTCAGTTCCAATGGGAAAGAAAAAGACATAAATGCACACAGCATATTGCTACCACTGTAACAAATGTCAGAACAAACTGCAGCCCAGCCTCAAATCACATTCCTGACAACTATCATTGATTTATTGAAACATTTTTACAACCCAACAAAGCAACAAGGAAGATTATTTACTTAATTGAGGGTTTGCCTTGGTGAGTTTTTGAGGAAGTGACTTGTGGCCTAACTCTATTTTGCTATAGAGCAGTTAAAGTGACAGCACATAGCAAATTATGTTTCAGTTTATATGGTTTTTAATTATTATTAGGTACATAAGCCTGGCAGCAGAAAGACACGCTTCTAAATAAAAATAGCAATCTAGCATCCATCACTGGCATGCCGAAACCTTTAATATCAGCATGCTTTCCCATAGTAGGTGATATGGCTGACAGAGGGAATCGAAACAACTTACACAGAAATCCCTTAGGATCCTCTGGGCTCCCATGCTCTGGCCAGTCTGTATACTGCAGATGCCAAACTGTTCTCTCCTGCCCTGTGAGAAGGTGTTTGATCTTCAAGCCTGTCGTTGCATAGCAGCCAGAGTCTGTGCGGAATCGTGTAGTAATCTTAAATCTTCCATAGGTGACAGTGTTGTGCCTTGAGCCAAGTCGGGGCCAGTACCTGAAGCTCTTTTCTCGCCCACCCTCCTTGGAAGCAAATACATTGTGAACAGAATGCATGGAAGCACACACGAGTGAAGCTGCTGTAACAATCCCAACATTTCCACCCACAATGTACTGCTAAGAGGCTTTTTCCACAAACTTTGACTCAGACTTATTAAGTGGGAAAACCATTTCTAAGGCTTAGTCTACACTAGAATGGCTGGCCAGTCTAACCCTCTCAGCAAATCCCCCAAGTGGAGACCATCTTATACTGGCAAAACTTTTACCAGTTCCCTGAATGAAAAACTATATGGACAAAGGGATTTTTGACAATATAAAAATATCACTCAGGATCACGATCCTAACTAACATTATCATATTGTAATTCCTCATTTAACACGTGCCCACTTTACACGTTTTCACGATAGCATGATTTTTTTTTAGGGAACATTTTTTGAATTACATAACCGTCCCCGGAATAACATGATTTCCCCAGCCGGCCTGTTGCTGGTGGCTGTGTGGAGCTTCCCCTGCCTTCCTGCAAAGCAGCGGAGGGTTCGCCATTCGCGGCGCCATTCCCCCCTGACTCTTCCTCACCAGACGCAGTGCAGGTCCTGGCAGATCCATCAGAGGGGCATACTCCCAACCCAATCTCCCTCCCCTCTCCTCCCCTTCCCTTCCCCAGAGTCAAACACCTCCCTTCCCTGCTGTTACCCAGTCCCCTTTCTCCCCCAACCTTATGTCCCGGACCCAACAGACACCACCGCTTGAAATGCAACCCCCACCTTTTCCATTATTTTCAATGGGAAAACTGAACCCGCATGACACGTTTTCACTTAACACGATCATTTTCTGAAACATATCTATAGTGTTAAATGAGGAATTACTGTATTGACAAGCAATTTTAAGGCAGACCTGGCCTAAATACCCACCTCTTCTGCTGTCACCATTGCTATAATGGCAATCCCTTGTTCCCATACCATCTGCCAGAAATCTTGACATGTATTCTGCAAAGGGCCTTGTGTAGCAATATAGTCCCACTCAATGCCACCAACAGAGACCTGTAAAAATGCAAAAGGAGAATGTTAGATTGCTGGTTACAAAGAAAGCTATTTGCAAAGTAAGTGACTTTAAAATGTAGGAGTCGAAAGTAACATTTGGGAAGCAAATGAGGCCATTTGTAAAGCACATTAACCTGACTCTACCTAATATTTGCACTCTGGTGTGTAGTATTCATCATTTATATCGTTCTTTAAAAAGTTATATGAACATTTAGAAGAGAAAAAACAAATAATCACACAATATTTTAAAAACTTGCCATACTGAACAACCGAGTCTACATCAACATTCTTTCATATTGAGTGAACTCTATACATTCAGACAAATTAAGCTTTAAAGACATTTTCTATTTCAGTGCTGTTATTACAGCATAAGAACGAATCCACACTAGTCAATATGTTTTTCCTCCTAATTTTGATTTAGGAAAGTCAAAATGCTGATTTACAGATTGTATCAAGTATGGAAACTTTTTGGTACTATGCCAAAAGGCCATTAAAAACCATGTAACCTTTTTTTCAAACTGCCTACAAAATAGCAAGAAGACCATCTCCCTCCTAAGAAACATCAAATCATTGAGGACTATACCCCACCTTCCTTTGGAAACACCCACTGGAAAAGGGCAAAGGGGCCTGCCCCCCTAAGAAATTATTTGAAGTTCACCTTACAAGAATTCCATGAAGTTCACCTTAGAAACTTTGAGGAAAGAGACTTGGGGGAGGGGGATTATATTGTGAAGAGTAGTTTCACACCTGGCTCCATACACTTCCTGTGATCAGCTAGGAAAGTTCCTGCATGAAGCTATCTAGCACTTCAACCTTCTGTGCTCCCTGGCCAGATGCATAGAAGGAGAAGAAACAACAGGGCCCTTAATTTCAGTTCTTTACGGTTGGGGATGTGTCTCTGTTTCTCTTTTTCTCTGCTGAGAATGGAGTCAGACTGGACAATTACAATAGCTGACTCATACACACCAATTCTGCTCTCAAAGAACCCCAATGTGCTTAAAGGACTATTACCCAGCTTTTCACATCACCGGAGTATTGATTTACCTTCAATTAATGTATAAAAAAGAAAAAAAGAGAAAGTAACTGAATCAATAGTATATGGCAGATGCCTCAGATATCTGAGTCTCTCTTAAGCTTTAAGAGACTGCTTAAGGGCTTGTCTACACAGAGACTTAATGGGTGGCAAGGAAGGTTTGAATGTACAGTCCTCTAGCTTGTCACTTACTATATGGCTATGCTTTAAAGGTTCCACTGTGTGCTGTAATGTTCTGCACTTCAAACAGTGGTACAAAAAAAACATACTTTTAGTATATTTGTAACAGAGTCTACAGTTGCTTAGTAGGCCACAGTGCTATAGTTTTACACCCCAGCCTGCTGTGCACTAAATCTCCATGTAGATAAGATTTTTCTTCAAAATAGTGAGTATTAGGTCAGCATGAAAAGAAAAAGATGGACAGGACTGGGCACTTACACTCCTTAATTTATCAGTCATCAGTTTCTCAACTTCAGTCCAAACTCTTCTCTTAGTACAACAATAGTTGCAATCCCCTGCACAGCTAAGAGAAAGAAAAATCTCTCCCAGCAGTGTTATACTGCTCTGAAGCGAGCACCACAATAGGGCTGAGATCTTCACTATCAAGACTCTCCTCATGGACTCTGGTGTCCTCACATTTCAAAATGCAGAGGTCAGTGTAACATTTTTAGGCTATACAGAATTATTTTAACAGAACAAAAAAGGGGCTTTTGATACCAGCTCCAAAATGAGAGATTGAAGAATCATTGTGCAAAACATTCTTCATTTGTGTTAATCTTACCTTAATATGGGATGCATTGATGTAACCCGTGTTGTTTTCTTTGGTTGGGACCAGCTCCACTCTGGCATCATCATAGGGAAGGACATCCTGAAACCTGTTTCTCTCAGCGTTTTCAGGGAGTCGGGCTATTGAGCACTCTCCATCTATGAGCCTTTTCTTTTGAACCCGCTCATACTCAGTAAACACCATTCCCTGTTCCAGACGTTGTTCTAGAATTTTACACTAAGAGACAGAATAGTATGATCATTCAATGTCACATCCCAGCTCAATTCTACTCTCAACACTGCAGTGAAAAGAATTTAATAAAAAATGTACACATTTTTCTCGCTTCTAATTTTTAAAATCCCACTTCAGCCACTGCTGTTTTTACAATCACAGTAATTCAGGAGTGGCCAAATCTTTATTCAGACAAAACTAATTCAGAGACAACTAATTTAAGTTAATGGGTGTTCTGCCTAAGAGAACAAGGATGAAGAATGTAAGGATATAATAGTAGGAGATGGCGATAGTAAAAAACATTCAAAAATTATTCCTTATTTCTGTATCGACAATCCAATCAGACATGGGAACATTTTGCCAAACAAAGTAGTTAGGACACATTCTAGTGTCCAAAGTAGTTAGGACACATAGGTGTTTGCAGCAAAGATGTTTGCATAGGGAAGTGCTTCAGGTGTTTGCAGCAAAGATGTTTGCATAGGGATGTGTACAGTACTTTCTGTTTAATATAGCAGGTTACAGTAGTGACTATGAGAGGTATCTTCCAACTGTATTATTTGGTCAGCTTTGTTGTTCAGGTAGAAGAAAAAAACCTCTCCAGATTCAACACAAAACTGAATAAATTCAGCATAACCTTTCATCCAGGAGAAGGTTTTAAGGTACTTTTGGACCCAATTGGGCCCGAGCTCAAGATGTAAAATAAAAAAGTAACCCACCGCGCTGCACTGCAGGGGCCGCCCCGCCCACCCTAGGTCTTGTGCCCGCTGCCTGCGGCCCCCAGCACCGTCCGGGACTCGCCCCTTCCGCCCACGAGGTTACATAAGCGACCCCTCTCCCCCTTTCCCTCCCCTGCCAGCACGCAGTGCCCCAATCCCCAAGTGCACAATGGCTTGGGCACTCGCCCTGCCCCCCGCGGCACCTGCAGCCCCAGGCATGAGCTGGGGTGCCTCTCCCAGGTGTAACCTCCCCTCCACCCGGGGTTGCACCCTACCCCCCCTCTGGGGATGACACAGACCTAAATTTTAATCCCTATAGAAATCAGTGCAACTTTTCTTCAAAAAAAGATAATGGACTACTATTTTTCTACATTTTGTTCCTCCAGTTTACCGAGCAATGCCGAGTAACTCCAGCTAGTTTGTCCATAAAACGACAACACCTCTCTCCAGTGTGTGGATCTTAATTAATTATCCAAACCTTTGAGCTCCCCTAAATGGATTACTGCTATGTTCTCAACCGCAGGTTTACCTTTGGAAATCATTTGGAAGTTTGTAGTTGGTACAGAATGTGGTGCATTATGCAAAGAATCCTGTTCTTAAGTGTTGGCTGTAGGATGCACTATTCGCTACTTCTCCAAGGAATACACCAGCATCCTCTATGTTCCCTGGTATAATTCAGGGTGATAATATTGTTCTATAGAGCCCTACATAGTGTAGATCATGCCTATTTTCATTCCATGTCCTCTCATGAGATTTATAATAGCCAGAGTGTTCTTGCCTATGCTGCACGTCCAAGCTTTAAACAGCTAGAAGCTGAGATTGAGAAATTTTCAGTTGGATGACCCTCAACTTTGGAACCGGCTTCCCTCACAGGTCTATGATGGTATTAATGTGCTCATCTTCAGGGCATTGTGTAAGATCATCTATTTTTTAGGGGCTTTCCATGAGGAGAAATATCAATGTGACCTGCAAAGATTTGAACCCTGAAGTAAATTCTAACTAAGCTACTTATTTGTTAAGCACCAACAGTAAAAGTCACACACAGTCACAGCTGCTACTAGAAAGAGCATTCACTCTAGACAGCTGCACAATTCAATGAGAAATGGAGGGGAAATTTTCTAATTTAAAAACTCTGAATTTTACACATCTAAAAGCAAAAAATTATAAAATTTCATCTTTCGTTTCATTAGGCACTTTTACCAAAACTTATCAATCGTTATATGTCTCTTTTGCCTATTTGTGGCCACCTTCTGTGTCTGAATTATTTGAGGGTGAGATGATCTAGTAATTAGCACAAAATACAAAGTTGATGCAGTTCATTTTTAAGATTGACGAGGTAAGAGAAACCAAACACCCCAGAAAACTTTTAACATACCCGTTCATCATTTGTTGCTCTGGTAGGCTCTTCCTTGCCCTCATCTGGCAAAGGCATTCGAGACAAGGTTAGTCCATTTAGCGCAGCTAACTTCAGAGGCCCTATTTTTTTGGCATCAGTTCTATTCTTTTTCATACCCTGCAGAAAAAAATTACAAATTGTTAATAGCCACAAAACAGATTACTACATAGTCCTCATGGGGGTTCGGTCAGTACAGAGGAATCCTTCATCTTCTTTTTGCAAGCAGAAGACAATGCATAGCCCCTTCTCTTTGTGTTAGAGAGTGCACTGGTAAAGCCACATTCCTTTCTAGGATAGGACACCTGTATGACTTCATTCCAAACACTAGTTTCTGAAACACCACAAGAATGACAAATATTGTTCTCTCCAAGGTTAGGTCACAGTGTGAGGAGCAATTTTGAGCAATTTACAGTCCTGAACAGAATTAAAATCCTGAATAGTTTGAATAGGACAGCAAAATACCACAAAGGGATTCCACACACAAGCTTATTATGTGCAAACTATATAGTTTACAGTCCCAGTTTTCAGATGTGGCCCCAGAGAACACAATTTTGTGGGTACTTTTTATAGCATTTAGATATGTAAGCATTAAAGTATCTTTTCCCCAGCTACAGTTTATGTCAAATTAGTTTAAAAAAAATTTGGCTACTACAACATATTTCAGATGCAAAAATGTGATCGAGATTTAGAGGCAGAGTTAAGGTCTTTTGGAAAATCAAGGCTTGAATCTTTACTTTTGTAACAATCACTCACTGTTAAATAAAAAGGTTAGAAAAAAATCCTGGAGGATTTTTGTGTTAAGAACCATTTTATATTTTAAACACTTACCTATTAGAGAAAGTAAATATTTCAATCCTACAGTTTATAAATGTGAATGCTAACAAAAATAATAGACTTAAGGAATTTAACACAGTGAAAAAACCTGAAATACTACATGGGCACCTGTGGTGTTTGAGTGAAAAGTCAATATATTCAAGGGCTAATGGGCAGCAACAGAAACAAAAGTGCTGCTAACTGCTAAAGAATGGGACTGTGTGCAAGAATGAATGAATGGAAACCCTTAAAGAATAGGACTGTGTGCAAGAATGAATGAATGGAAACCCAAGAACAAAGGGCCACAGTGGGAGCAAAAGATGTCATGGAAAGAATGCCTCTACTAGTCTTATCAAGATATAAAACTCTGAATGTTAAGTACTGAAAAGAATTAGGTTCTATCTATATTGTTTGCAGGATTATTGTAGCCATACTGGTCCCAGGATATGACACACACAAAAAGAGTGAGGTACTTTACTGAACCAACTTCTGTTAACGAAAGACATAAGCTTTCAGGCTCCATAGAAGTTGGTCCAATAAAATATATTACCTCTTTCACCTTGTTCTAGCTATACAGTGTTTTGTAATAACTAAACAATGTTACTAGCTGAATAAGACAGTATTCTATAGAACATTTCCAATGAGTGAAGAACATCTAAGTTTAAAACTGAACTGAGAGTCTCTCTCAATGAAAGTAATCTAATTATAAACAGAGTAGAAGGAAAAGCCAGGGTAAGTTCGCAAGTGTCTCAAAAACTTATACCATGGAAAGAGCAAGACTCAAAAGCTTAAAAATAAAGGTCACACTGCAATAATTAGGAGTTAGGTGCTTAAAAAACCTTTCAGGATTTGGGCTCATAACACAAGGTAAGAGTGTAAGCTACCTATCAATATAAGCCTATCAACAAAAGAGCCTCATTAGTTTTACTTGATGCTAGTGTAACAAAGAGGGGGAAGAGACAAATAAATTATATACAATCATAAAGTTCTTAAAAGAAATTGAACAGGATTGTGCTATTTCGCTAGGTCTCATTTTGCATCCAGCTCCTTGCTAGGAGGACAGAAGAACAATGATGAGGACCATGTAAGAGTCTAGATAAATAGATTAATCCTACAGTATTTAGTTTCTGCAGGGTCAGCTATAGCAGCTGCTAAAACAGTAAAACTAGTATGCCAGTCTGTTTCTCACTGCAGCTTTTCCCAGTGAAAAAAACTACTTGGCAGCTGCTGGGGAAGAAGTAAAAGTAGTATAATCGATCACTAGAAAAAGGCAATCTAAAAACAGGGAACACAAAAATGAAGACGGTGGCTACAAAAAAGAATTTTTTGTTTTTATTACAGTAGCACCCACAACGAGGTAGGCATTGCAAACATATCAGGAGTCAGAGTCCTCGCCCTAAGAACTTGTAAAGTTTTCAGACTAAAACCAAAGTGGGTAGATATAGAAGACAGTGAATTATATTGTGTGGTCCTGCATGCCTCTTGTGGGAGGTTCTGTGGGGGACACGAGTTTCAGTTTATGTTTTATGGCTTGGTGAGGTAGAAGTGGGAGACAAGGGAATGGTAAAGAGGGACTGAGTTTGTAGGGATGTTTAGAAAGTAGGATGGGAAGGGAAGAGTGCCTGGGAAAGGGAAAAGCCAAGGAGTGCATACAAAGGAGGGAGGTGTCAGAACACACGAGTGAACACGCAGTTAAGACCAATTCTCACGTTACAGGAATAGGTCTAATGTCATCACAAGACTTTTCAGACAGTGGGTGTAGCTGCTCCTGCTCCAGCTGTCTGGTGAATGGGGGAACTCTAGGAACCATGGCCTGTTAAAAAGACCCCCTAGACAGCTCATCTGCGGACTGTATGAGGCTGAGGAATAGGGTTACCAGATGGGTTTCAAAAAAATACCGGACACACGTGATCTCAGAACGGGTGTGTGTGTATGGGGAGGGGAACCAGCTGGGAGGGGAGCTGGGCTGGCCGGGAGGAGGTCGGAGGGGAGTGGGGCTGGACCGGAGGAGGGACCAGCCAGTGGGAAGCAGGACTGGCCAGGAGAGAGTTGGGGAAAGCAGAGCTGGCCGGGGGCGGAGGGGGGGACTGGCCAGCAGGGAGCAGGGCTGGCCGGCAGGGAGCTGGGGGAAGCGGGGCTGGACAGAGGGAAA